TTGAAATTCTTTGCAGTCATTGGCTGTTAACTTTTAAACTGTTGCCATAACTACTTGTTATTGTTACATTTTTTCATGAAATTTGTTTTATTGATGAAATTGATTGAAAGGTTTGAGTGTCATACCTCTCCTCTTTGAAATTCTTTGCAGTCATTGGCTGTTAACTTTTAAACTGTTGCCATAACTACTTGTTATTGTTACATTTTTTCATGAAATTTGTTTTATTGATGAAATTGATTGAAATTGATGATTTAATGTAATTCAAATTGATGTTTCAATGTAATTTAAATACAATGTTACACTGTTAGATTATAAAATTAAATATAATTAAATGTGTTTTATCAGAAATGTCTTTATTTCACTTTGCAGTTTGACTGGCCCATTTTTGCTGATCAGCCAGCCCATTTTACCTGAACACCGCTATCTCAAAAAGTGTGGGGCAGCTAATGTTTCAAAACCTGTAGGGCCTGAACAATTATATTTTATTACATCGATTCAACACAAAAACATTAAAAACCGTCCTTATTAATCATAAGAACACCGTTATATATAATCATTTTTCTCTGAGGGAAAAAAAAAATGGAATTTTAATTTCCAAAAGTGTATGTTGTACTCTGTACCAGTAACAGTTTCAAAATGATCTAGCAGGTTCAGACTAGTACACAGATGTATGTGAAGCAATATTACAGGGATGATATCATTACAAAAAAAATAAAAATTCAGTCTTTGAAGTGTAATGAAAGTCTTTAACAATAAATATTACATAGTGAATGTGTGCTACCTGGTGGTGCTTTTCCAGAGGCATCAGAGATATGAGCGACCTCCATCTGTTTAGACCATCTCAAACTTCAAATAAAACAGCTGAAGACACACCAAAAAAAAAAACTTAACTAAATCACAAGCAAATAATTCAAGGACATTATTACAAAAATAATGTCCTTATAAAGGAATAGTTCACCAGAAAAAAAGGAAAAAATAACATTTTGTCATAATTTACTCTTTAGTTTCAAACTCATCTTCAGAACACAAATTACACACTTTTAATGAAACCTGAGAGGTTTCTACACGTCACTGAAAGTCCACACAACCAAAACTTTGGCTTTGATGCAAAAACATTATAAAGCCATTAAAATTGATCCATATAGCCTAAATTGAGTGGTTTAATCCGAAATGAAACCTTACCATCAATAAAGCAATCATAGGTTGATTCACAATTGATTCAAATAGATTAATTTTACAACACCTTTATGACCATTTTAAGTTGTTTTGGTTACTTGAACTTTCAATGGAGGGACAGAAACCTTTCAGGCATCAGTAAAAATGTGTTTTTAGGAGATAAAAGTTGCACGAGTTTGTAATAACATTAGGGTGAGTAAATAATGAAAGAATCCATTTTGTAGGATTCTTCAGTGGCTTTGATAGGACCAAGACAAATAAGATGGAAAATGAGAGAGGTACACAAAAAAGTACACAAACCTGCAGTATCATTACTAGTATCATTAGCTAACATTATTGTTAAAGACACTTAGCACAAGTGACAAATTAGTTAGTGATAAATTAAGTGTGCTAGGCTGTCAGGAATAATTATTAGCCTACATTATCCTTTAATAACATAATTTTTTTAATACTTATTCACAAAATATTTCTCCTTAAAGTGGCTTAAGCGCCAGTTTAAACTTGACCGATTTTCAGTTTTAATGGTACATGTAACATCATGCCAGTGGATATTGAACACTGTTTTGATCTGTTTCATGTCTAAATGATGAAAAAATAAAAAGAAAAGAAAAAAGAAATGAACAATGATATACACAAATTTTTACTTTGATCATCAGTGGTATGATTCGAATCGTCACTCATAAATGGCGACATCTGGTGGGTTTCTAAAGAACAGCCGCCAAGAGCTTTAAAGCATTATAGCACTGGGAGCTCAACCTCTACTAACATCCTACACGTGTATCATGGATGTAGTTGAGTGCATTTATCATATATTTGTACACTCATACAAACAAGTAGCCTATCAGTCAGCGTATTTTCACAGACCCTTAGAGCCCTGATGAAGTGAGGTTTGTCCCTATTTTGCCCAGCACTGGGTTGTATTTAACCCAGCATTTTTTAGAGTGCAGTATTTTTAACAATATGCTATTTACACTAAGTGCAGATAGCGATATATTCTATTTACACTATGTTAAAATAGCAGGATTTTCTGCTATTTATACTACTTATTGCAAATAGTGGCAATTATCTGCACCTCAGTATCGTAGTACATTATAAAACAGTATGAAGTAATAACGTATTGAGTGAAAATGATAATTTTAATTCAAATTATTAAATGGATGCCGCCTTATTGGGGCAATAAAGCCCTCCCTGCACCTACCCTAACCCTACCCGATACTTTATTTTCAACTTTTTGATTATTTCCTTAATTTTTACTGTAAAAAAAAAAATTCCTTTCTGATGTTATATGAGATGTGAAAAGGGAGGAAAAAAACGTTTGGCAAAAGGCGGATTCGAACCCGGGTCGATCGCGTCAAAAATCTATTACTAGTCATTCAAGACTAAACCTCATGGTCCTGACAGAGATGTGAATCAAACCAGAGGACAATGCTACACCTGCAGCACTCTCCAATAATTTCTCATTTCCCCACTCCCCCCGTCTGACTGGAAGAGGTGGAGGTACTGGTCTGCTTATCTCTAAGTAAGGATTGGAAATGTATTCCTTTACCTTCTCTGGGTATTAGCAGCTCCTTTGAATCACATTCAGTCATTATTACCCACCCTTTTAAAATCCATTTTTGTAGTTGTTTATCGACCCCCAAGACCACAAGGTAACTTCCTGGATGAATTAGATGTGCTGCTCTTAAACTTTCCTGAGGATGGTACTCCCCTAGTTATGCTTGGAGACTTCAACA